ACCCTTAGGTTCCGATTCATTGGTTCAATGATGACGAGATCTCCATGAAATCTGAAGGTTTTGGCTTAGTTCCCTGATGGACTAGGGTCATGGTCACGCACTGCTGATGACTCTGATAATAGGACGAAACAGCTTTCCAGTGCTCTCAGGTTTTCAATGTTTCTTCAACTGATTTCAGTAAGTCCGTAATGAATATAAACTTGAAACTAGCGTGTGCTGATCAGTTACTAGGACTTCAGGTATCATTATGCTGTCAGATACCCATTGCTAGCCAAATTCTATAAGTCAGATGTCAAAAGTCACAGCTAAGTTGGAGTGAAGTGAATGCAGTCACATCTTTTAATGTAAGGCTGAGTAGAACAAATAAGTGTATGCTTCATGTATGTAGCATCCGCATCTACCTGGTAAGTGATAGTAAGTAAAAAAACCTACAGTCTATGCCTTTCTACAGACTGTTTGAAGTCATCCAACAACAAATTTATATTCTCCCACGTTACTAACTATTGTAATCATAAAAATGTAGTCAGCACATGCTAATCAGATTTCACGTCTTTTAGCTAGACTTCAAGAATATCCCTAACACTGAGTCAACCATACAGTTTTGTCACTTTTCATATAATAGGCTAACTGACAGATCTTACATCTTAGAGGTAACAGAAGAATAAATTAGTAAACAATTGATTGCTAGTTGAGAAGAAATTTCATTTGTGATGATAGGTTGATATTCAATAATCTGAGTCGAAAGAAAATATGATTCAGTCACGAATAAAAAGAAGAGGTTAGTGTTTAAAACAAAAAACGGTGAAAAACTGAACACACTTATCTTAAAGTTCATTATTGAAAATGTATGGGTCACTGAAATCACGGTGTGACTTTCTGACCATTCACAAACAATATAAAACAGAAGTTGTTGACAAGATGATCATTTTTCACACATTTACTGATCACTTGAACACCTTTCACAAGTTATTTTCTAACTACATTCAAACAAATGTTACTATGTCATACATTCATTACATGTCATTGTGTGTTTAAACAATCGAAAAAATATTTAGGATTGTAAGACCTAAAGAAATTCAGCTGACCTATATCTCAGTAAAATACTTACATGGAGCAAAATAAGTCAAATATCTGCAGGATACTATTCTCTGTTACCAGACATTAATGAAGATAATCCACTACTTGCAAGGAAATAAAATGCATGTTATTCGGGATCAGTTCAGAGTATTTTGTAGATAATGGATCAAATCTAGTCAACATCAACAGGGGAATAGGCATAACTATAAGGGTCAAAGTTATCATACTTAATATCATCACATCGAGTAACAAACCAGAAAGATGAAGAGAGAAAGAAAAATCAGTAAGACGCAGTAGAAAGAAGTGAAACGGATGAAGGAGGAACGAGAAAGTCTTGGATTCAGCATCGCAGCTAAGATGAAGATAACGTGTCGATAAATCTTCCCTATTGACATTGATTCTCAGCCATATCATCTAGAGTTTCCAACCACTGGTTTCTCTTGTCCCACGGACCCCAACCGGCTAGTCTGCATCATCCTACAAACCAATAGTCAAGGACTTCATGGGAAGATGCCATGTTTTAGTATGGCCACTCTGAGCCCTTCTTCCGGCTTGAACATACTTCAGCCAACACTGTGCAACGAGGAAGATGGCTACTAGACATGCGGAACACATGTCCCAGCCGTCCCAGGAGATGAAAGTTAACGAGGTCACTTCCTTCTCCTGCCTAAAACTCTACACCTGGTTTCTCCGTTACTTAGGGGGTGACACCACGACGCATGGCCTATGCTACGAAGGTAATGGTGGTCAAACACCACAAATCTTTTCATGTCCTCTACCTTTAATTGCCATGCTTCACAGCCATACGGCAGAACAAAGTGAACTTCAGGCCAGTACACTAGACGCTTAAAAAGTCAATAGGATGTCGTGGTGGTGCCATAGGTGAAGCAAGTTGCCGAAAGTCAATCGAGTCTTTTGTATCCATGTAAATATCTATTCAGCCTCTGACTCGCCACGGCTGATCCGACTTCCTAGGTAAGTGAAACGATCAACACACTCTCAGCTGTTAGGCAGGGCACCGCTGAACACCAGTCGTAGAGCAACAACTTGCATTTTGATGGCGAGAAACACATCTTAAACATTCTCAAATTCTCACTCAAAGTTTCCAGAAGACACTGCATCTAGTTAGTGTCTTTACTTAAAAGGATTATGTCATCTGCATATTCCAAGTCTACCAAGGATTCTCTTCAGTGATTAGATCAACCTCTGTAATGTCAGATAGCGGGAGACAATGGATAAATGATCTGTTCAAGCACTGGCCAGAAAAATACCAAACCTTTTACTAAAGTGAATTAGTTCAGCAGTAGAAAAACTTCAGCTCTCTTCATTTCCTACGTTTTGGTTGATTTGAACAGATGCTTTCCAAGTAAGCCGACGTATATAGCAAGGTGACAAGACAGTATAAAAGTGGTCAGAAGTTCAATTTAAATGAAATTCAAGTAACGCTTGATATAGAAAAGTCGAGAAGATACAAAGCAATGTAAAACTGTGAAGAACATCTTTTATTGACCTGAACCCTTGATCCTCGAAGTAAGAGAGGCTAAAATCCCTTTCAATAAAGTATTATGACTACATAGGTACTAAATAAAAGAAAATATTCACCTACACTGATAGTGTTATCAAAAAAGCCTCAGAAGTGGTCACATTTAGGTAGGATTGACCAACAAGGCTAGTGATAGTCAATCTGAGTAAGCTGATTAGGAAAACTGGGAACTTCATGGATGAGAACCTTCATGAGAGCAGATTGTAATGTTCTAGCTCAGTTCCACGCTACAAGATCGTCTTCAGATCTCTGGACATTCCAATATAAACCTGGTGGATCGGTCTTCTTGTTGTGCAGAAAACATGCAAGTAATGCATCCACATGAAAACGAACACTCTTGCCAGAGGATTCTGTTAACGCCCTTTCAAAATGATCAGTGTCATGACTTCCCAATCTTCTCAACCGTCAGGCTTTAACATATCTAAATTCACCGGGTAATTGGTTTGTTGATCGTATTCACCTCCCCAAGGGAAGATGTGAGTGGGACACGTCTCACTAAAATCTCCACAACCTCAAAGAACTAAGTGTAACTCACCTTCCCGAAAAAACATTCTTCTAGGAGGCCTGGCTTGTCGGGCCATAATGCTGACAGACATACAGAGGTGGTTCTCTTCCTGTACTTATTCAAAAAGCACAATAGTTTAACGTCATTTGCACCGTAATGCAAGGGAAAAAAATTCAAAACAGTAAAGCGACAATGAAGTGAGTAATTGAGACAAGTGGTTAGGCGACAAACAGAATAACAACATGAAGTGGTTCAACACATAGAAAGCAGAGCGTTTTTCGTAGTTACTTTCAAAGATAAAACGATAATAATGACCTTGATGCTTTGATGGTATTCTCAAAATCCACTAAGAAAAATGTGAATACTGTGTGTTGTTAGGATTTTTCGAGGACAAAGCATAATCCATTCAACATTACTTAGGACAAGTTGTATTACATTTATGACTGATTGGTACAAATGCAGATTTATGCATGCAACTATGTGTCATATCTACAGGTCTTACTAGCTGATTGTTCAAACTCAAGTGGATGCAGCGGGGTTCATGACGGAATGTATGAAAGATGGGTGTTTAAGACAGTACGCGATAGAACCACCCAACTAATTGAAATCAATTTATATGGTCTACCAGAAATTACTAACCAGGCAAAAGTAATTTATAGTCGAATGACGGCTTTACTCTTTCGAAGACACGCTTATCATAACTGTGAACTGGTCATTGAGTAATTCTCATCAGTAAAAAAGGCGTCCAAACACCTGGTAGAATATGGAACTCTCAGAAGTCAGAGACAGTAGGGAAATATAAACCAGAAAACTGTTAGTCAGTTGGAGGCAGTTGGCAGGAAGCCCTGGACCTAGGTTTCGTGTTTTTTGGCACTCGTCAACAGGGCGTGTCTGTAACCCGATGTAAGTTATGCCCCGCCGGTGGTCCGAACCCGCGCCACCCAGAGTTGTAGACAGCATCTTTACCACTCAGCTATTCGGGCAGCGGCCAACCTCCTGCAGGACTGGCTTACACATATTGATTGGTCGCGTGAGTGCAACCAATTTCATGTTGTCTAATCCTGAGTGCAGACCGAATTCTATTGATCATATTTGCAACGTGGCAACCAAGCTAGGAGGCTCAGCACGAAACATAGGTCCAGGGCTTCCTGCCGATTGCCTCCAACCAACTAACATCTACTAATGTGCACCGCAATGCTGAGCTTCCTAGCTTGGTTGCCACATTGCAAATATGATCGGTAGAATTCGGTCTGCACTCAAGACTAGACAACATGAAATTGGTCGCACTCCTGTGACCAATCAATACATAAACCAGAACACTTTCCAACCCCTAATTTACAACAAGTGATGTGTATTAGTCAAGAATGGTTTCTTAGTAGGTCTTGTGTGTGTATCATAACAGAGGTTGAACAATTCGATCCAGTAAAATAGCAGAGAACTACAAGCATACCAACAAACAGTAATCATTAAACCCGTTGTACAAGATGTAACTGTCGTATCTCAGTGGCATGATGGACAAAGATTTGGCATTTATAGCGACGGGCAAGGAGTTCGAGTCCCGATAGGAGCAACATCAATCGCTGGGGTGCAGATGCATGCAGCTGACAAGTTCCAAATAGGACGAAACGGGCGTTCTGGATCCCTGTGCCAGTCACAACCGAGTTAGTTATCATAATAAATATTCAGGTAATATCGAGGCACGCACATACGAGCCCATATGCAAACTTAAGCTAAACAATCCGATCCAGTATAATAACGGAGAATTACAAGTATAGCAACGAACAGTAATATACTATAATAGTTAATTAAAAAACTCGAAGGTATTCAATTTAAAATTAGTTTAGTAAGCGGTAAATATAAGAGAGTAGCACTTACCAATGGCATGAAAAAGAACTGACAAAAGAATCCGATTGATATAGATACTGGTGGTTTAAAATGACTACTCATTCGAGAGTAATCCAGTTCACAACCCATTGTAAATGTAAATACAGTCACCATGATTATGACAAAGATGCGGAAAATTAGATCACCAATTCCTTTGTTTTTGACTACAAGGATTGGAAAACCCATTGCATTATTATAGTAATCTTTTTGAGAATCAACTGAGGATACATTCACTGGATAGTTTATTGATACGATATTAAAATAATTCTCCCTGAAGGATTCAAAATCACTAGCAAGCCAGGATGTCACATTGTTGTACTCAGAAATTGGTTTAGCTTCTCGAACCCAAAATAACAAATAATCTAGTCCCAACAATTTCGGTATTATGTACACAGATATATTCACATTGGTTTCTTTTGTCACAGATGGTAACCAATACCAAGACTGATTGACTAACTCTGCTGACAATGTGAAGTCCATATGATAGGATAAAGCTAGAGGTACACTGCTTCGGTAATTTACCATGAATGTAACAGGTGTGAGAACATAATTATCCACAAATTCCAAGTCACTCTTAGAAATACTTATATTCACATAGATAGATTGAATTTCATCCAAATATTTATAAGCATAAACTGAAGAATTAGGATTTGCATCACTATGAAGTTGAAATCGTTCCCGTGCTTGTTTAGTGCCGTCATCATATATTAAACCAAACTGTAGAGCAGGTGCTTCACTAGATGGTAATGCATATAACAGATAGATATTGTTGGTTATAAGAAAAATAAACAACAATGGCTGATAAACCATGAGTCCGCAAGACAATTATTCTAAAAGCATGGCTATGAAATCAGGAATTTGTCAGGCAATATGAAAAATATAAATGAATAAATTGTTGTTTTTCATTCAATTCGCTAAACACGCTGTCTCAAGGTCATAACCAAAGTCTGTCTTACTCTCTTCATGATTTTGATTGGTCTAAATTGCAGGTCAGACATGTTTAAAAGAAAACCCTTAAAATGCTTTGGATGGTGCTAATTGGTCTATTCATCAGGTTACGGAATGAAAGGAACTCATTGATGACTTATTTATATAGTTCACCATCACCGTAAAAATGGCTGCGTGTACTCCCATGAAAAATTTCATTACACTCTGCGTCCACTGCTTTTCCGAAACAAGTAACACCAATGGCTAATACATACAATACCCTTTGATGAATAGGTGGCCTTATTAGGCGATTGATTAGCAATTGAAACCAAATAACTTATAAAAAAATTCATAATTTTCCCAGCTTTCTATCGTTTTTACTGAACACAGTTTATTTTTTTAGACCGTACTGGCTGTCGATTTCCTTTCGAAAGCGGGATCTTTCAGTGCAAAAAAGTGCTATTCAACAAAATTACCGGAACATGAAAACACTTGTTTACTTCATCATAATACACGTGTTATACACAATATAATATACACAATAATATACGTGAAGCTGTAATATAATCACTTCTGCATCAACCGCACACGCTAGAGCACTCGATAATAACGTCTTCATCCGCATATCTCGTAAATGGATATCAGTGGAAAAAAGGCGACTGCGTTCGAGGAGTAGACTGTAAGCACCTCTAGGCTTCCAGCAAAATCTCTACATAAAGACGATGACACAATTAAAAGTCGTCGTTTCAAAATGCTAACAGTTCTCAATTTTTCTCGGGATTTACCTACTGAATCTGGATTCCAGAAAGAGTGTAGTGCACCTCATAGCACCGAAAATACTGCTAGTTTTAAAATAAATAAATAAACATTTAAAATTGATGATGGATAATGGTTAGCAGTGGGATCCTGAATGCGCTTTTCGTCTCATTCGGGACTCGTCGGCTGGATGTGCCTGCCTCCCAGTGAGCGATGCTGTTTCCACTATGATTGGACGGGATAATACAAGAAACAATACTAAAATAATAGCTAGACAGTATTCTACAGCGTCACTGAGTGACAGCAGTCCTGTATGTTTGCTTTTAGGAGTATGAATCCGCCCATCTACACTAGCCATTTTTGCTTCCTCTTCATGTTGGCCAGCACCAACACTCTCAGAATTCCTAGCTGAAAAATCAGTAGACGGGTAAGCTTAACGTTCTTCTCCTAAAATAACGTCTTTATCTTAGGTTATTAAATAAACTTCTCATTTGCTAACTATTTTCCAATCTAACGTGTTTTCTTATTTGTCTTTTTTGTTATCAGCACTTACATACAGATAAGGTTCTGATTAGTTTGGTACTGGCACAGATTAACTGAATTAAGACTGGCCAGGTGTCAGGAAGTAGAAACACAGGCAATGACTTACAAGCGCATGAATATAAGAAGTTATCTACCGCTACCTTCGAAACATGTTGATTTGAGACAAGTTGGAGACTGTGAACCATTGAACTCCGATCCAGTGGCTGAGTGTTTAAAGCGTTTGCCAGGAAACCTGAAAGTCCTGAGTTCAATCCCTAACCGGGTCGTGGGTGTCTACTCCTGAGGAGTCCCATGCTATGACGAAACAGCCATCCAGTGCTCCCAGGCTTTGAATAGTTCCCCAACTGATATCAGTCCGTGGTGAATACTACCTCTAATGAAGAGATAATTTGCTGACCCACCATCTGTCTGTCCTACTACAGACGTGATAACATAAAGCACATTTTGATTGGTCGCTCTCTAGACTAGTCATTTCTCTATATCTTCATATCACATGCATAAATGGACCAGGGATCGGTGGAAAGCTCTTAAAATGTGTAATGCATTAATGTAAACAATTAGGTTATAATTAAAATGAATTTTAAAATAAGTAAAGTAACACGACCAATGTTACTTATCTGAGATTATCTATTTTCGGTAAATGAAACAAAATGCAATGTAACGTAATTTTACATCACTTGGTCTACAGACCACATCACAAATTTGATCGATAGACCCTAACCAGCGTCGAGCACAAGGAACATATTTATCAGCACTGTATGAATTCGTGGAGTAGGCAATAGGTACATCTACTGAATGACGGCAAACAGTACTGTACCACCGCCCAAAACTTGACAGGCGAAGTGAGGTTCAAACTAATGACCGATTAACTGACAGTCAGTTGCCTAAACCAGTAAGCCACAGCTTCACTCACAGCTGTATCGATTACACACTGATAAACAATTCATACGTCGGGAATTTACTTTCACTTCAATGCTATGCTTACACAACGTTTTAGCAAAAAATCTACAACTATTATTATTATTATTATTACTCTCGTGGGTTCCTAATGCAACATAGGGAGTCAGTAGCACATCTCCATTACACTCTCTTCTCTACAGTCTGTTGAACCTAGCACCACAACTGCCCACAAACTCTCATTTCTTCCTCACACAATCTCCTACATGTCAACCTCACCTCGGACGCCCAACTCGTCGTTTCCCCTTCGGATTACACTCGACTACCTGGCCTGGTCTGGTCTGACCTAGCCTGACACGTGATGTCCCCAGTCGGCCTCCTCAGTGCATGCCCAATACCATCCATCTCCACTTCCTTCTGAATATTTGTTGAGCGATAGGTTCTTCGTCGGTTGGTTCGTTCCCAGAGTTAATTCCTTGTTGCTTATTCTCATTATTCTGGCCATCTGATCTGATCTGATCTGATCTGATCTCCAGTATCAGTATCGAGTGAGCGTGGGTGGCAGCTGTTGATGAATGTCTGCAGTTTGCTGTAGGTGCTTTCCATGACACGCCAAGTCTCTCAACCACCACATGGAAGCACTGACTTCACTGACATTGGTGTTGAGAATCCGGATGTTGTTCACGCCTTAGGCTGAGTGCAGAAGATCTCCACACTGATTTCAGATTAATGAAGGCCTGTGTTGCTGTATTTCCTATCCTGACTGGCTTTGACATCCTCGTGTGTGCCTGTGCTGCCTGTAGTTGAAACGATGATGCCCTGCCTAGGTAGGTGTGGGTGAAAGAGACTACTTCCTTTAGATTTCTACCGTTCATGGTGATTGGTGCCTGTTGTGGTTTGTGTATCTTCATCACCTCCATTTTCTCTACATTCACTTGAAGTCCGGTCTTCCTTCGCTGCCCTGTCTCTTCTGTCAACTTGTTAGTTCTCGCCTGTAGATCTTCAAGTTTGTGCCACAACACATTAGACATAAACCATCATCGGCGGTGAAATCGAAATCTTCTTCTGGGGTCTTTTCATCACTCCAACCAGCGTATGCCTGTCTTCTCACTCTTCACGGTTTGCCGCATGATCCAGTCCAGTCGACCATAATCAGGGAGATGATGGGTGATCGTAGGCAGCTTTGTCTTACTCTTGTATACACTTCAAAGACATCACTGAGCTTTCCGTAATCTATTGATCAGTTAATCAAGTACGCCATTGTCAGTTATGAGTCATGAAATATCCAAAAATCAAATTTATAATTTATGTTTGCCAACAAGATAAACTCATATAGCGTATAACGCAAATCTACTGACGCTATTTTTCGAAAACAGGTTTCTTTTTCAAATTCTTCATGAAGCCAAAACTTGTATGTACATAGACCAGCATATTGATAAAAGAATCTGTGAATTTGTTTATTATAACAGAAGTGCAGGCTGAATCAATATTCCTTTTAACTTACAATTCAGATAACCTAAATACCAAAGCTTAGACTGAATTAGTCAACAATCTAGGTGCGCTCATATAATGCCGCATATTGTGTCTGTGTATGTATGTATGTATGTATGTTTACGTAAAAAGTTAGGTGATAAAATCGCCTGACTTCCACTGGAATTCTCTCTAATTGAAATTCTGCGTTAATTAGGTAGATATATATAGAAATGTTACGGAGATTATCGAGATTTCAAGGAAAGACTGAGATATTAGTCCTTAGTAGATTTATTGAACCTCACCTGGTTAACTACTTCACTAGTTACTTGCCAGTCCTAAGCCAAGATAAAGAGGAAAGGTTGGGCATATGGCTAGCAACCCTACACCGTAAACCCAATACAACCCCTAAAAAAACTTCAAAACACAAACAAAATATAAAAAATAAAAACAACATTGTTCCTCACTGGAATCAGAGAGGCAAAATGACACCGGTTGGTGAAAGTCTCCGGGAAGCCAATTGGCCGATGTGTCATCTCTCCCTCGACAAAACAGAAAGTAAGAATGGAGACATGGAATGTCCACACAATGTTTGAACCTAGCAAGGCTGCCCAGATTGCAAAAAAGATGAAAAGATATAGCACTCAAGTGCTAGGAATATGCGAAAGCAGATGGAATGGAAGTGAACTCTTCAAACTCCAACTGCAGAGTTTTTTCAATAATCTACTCCGATATTGTCAACCAGACGACAACCACGAGCACACTGAGTTTTTGAGTGGCTATCATGATGTCTCCAAGAGCATCCGAGGATCTCATGCAGTGGGAACCAATCTCCTCATGCATTTGGATCATGACAGCAAGCTTCAACTCAAAATGAAGGAAAGTCACAATCATGAAATGTTACGCTGAACGCCTACAAATAACGCAGATGAAGAGAAGAAGGAGGATTTCTACAGACAACTGCAATCAACACTGGACAAGACCTCAGTTGGCGATATCAAAATTTTAATGGGTGACATGAAAGCTAAACTCGGAGCAGACAACACAGGGAGGGAACTTATCACGGGTCAAGAAGCACTCGGTGAAATGAAGGAGAATGGAGAACTGTTTGCAGATTTCTGCGTATTCATTTGTTTGGTGATTGGAGGCAGTGTGTACAAACACAAGGATATTCACAAAGCGACATGGACTTCATCTGACACCAGGACACACTAAAAATCAGATCGACTTCATTTCAATGTGAAGAAAGTGGAGACGCAGCTTACTGGACACAAGATCAGATCAAGAAGGGGAGCAGCTATGGGTTCACACCACTCGCCATAGAGTGCAAAGAACCCTCAAAATCAAGTTGAAAGCCTTCGAGGAAGTTGGTGATGATAGACCACAGTTCAACACCCAGAAATTCAAGTACAAAACCACAATGAACATCTCCACGTCAGCCATCAGAACAAGATGGGAGACATTGAGCAACATCAACAAAGAATCCTGTGTGGATGAACACTTGAACTCTTTGAAAGCGATATAGAAGGGAACCTGCATAACCATGTTAGGAAGGAAGAGGAAACAAGACAGTGGTTAGATCTTGACGGATACACTGAAGCTGATAGAAGAGGGAGTGGAAGATAGTGAAGTAGAAGATGAGCCAGTGCAGCGATGAACAACGAAAAGAGGAACTGAAAACAATATATAAAACACTATACTGGACAAAGAAGTGAAGGAGAGTGCACGCAAAGACAAAAAACACTTCTAAGACACACATGCAAGTGAGGCAGAACAGGCTGCAGGTAGGAGAGACAGAGACCTGACAACACTATATCAAATAACCAGGTTACTATCTGGGAGGGGAGGGAGAGATCAACACATATGAAACCATGAAAGATAATGAAGGAAGTGAAGTTAACAAAGAGGAGAAAGAAAGGAAACAATAGGCTGACTACTTCAAAAAAAATCTTGAATCGACCACAACCTGCAACGCCAAAACTTCTAGTGAACACGGGACCTCCGACAAAAGCAGAAAGGAAGTCCTGAATGCTATAAAACTACTGAAATTCGAGAAAGCAGCAGGACCAGATGGAATCCAGACAGAAGCACTGAAAACAGATACAGAGACATCAGCAGCTGACATGCTCACACAACGCCACTGTTGCAGAAGTTTAGCAAGGAAGGAAGGAAAGGTACCTGCCAACTGATTGTAAGAAGGGCTACCTTGTCAAAATCCCAAATAAGCGAAACCTAAGTCTTTGCAAGAACTGGCGAGGAATCATGCTCCTGTCCACTTCAAGCAAGCGAAATATTAAGCCATACCATAATGGAGACACCAAACAGTGCGTTGGATTCAAAATTACGACCAGAACATGCTGGCTGCTGTCTTCAGGAAGAATAAATCATGTGTGGATCAAATTGCGACGCTACGCCATGCATCATCATAGAACAGAGTAAAGAATGGCAGTCAACTCTCCACTCCAACTTTATCGACTTTGAAAAAAACTTCGACAGCTTCAACCCAGAAGCAATTTGGCAGGCAGCGGCTTCAACACCACGGAACGGATTAATCTTTATCAACCTCATTCAACACCTATATGAAGGCGCCATATGCCAAATGTTTCACAATGGGAAGCTCAGTGATCCTCTGAAGTGAATACAGGAGTAAGACAAAGCTGCCTACGATCACCCATCATCTTCCTCATTGCGGTCGACTGGACTGGATCATGCAGGAAACCGTGAAGAGTGAGAAGACAGGCATACGC